GGAGTGGAGGATGGTCACTTTACAAAGTGACTCAGGTAGTCTCAATTGAGAGGCCAAGAAACATAGGGTAGATTTGAGAAGAGCCTGTCTAATCTTATGTGCACATAGTCCTGTTGTAGTGGTTTCACTTGGGCAGCACTTGGCTGCAGCCAAACCCAGCAGCTTGCTCACTCCCACCCACCAAGGAGATAGGAGAGAGAATTATGAGACAAGGGTAAGGAGACTCGTAGGGTGAGATAAGAACAATTTAATAATTGAAATTAAATAAAACTTAAAATAATAATTATAATAATGAAGGTAATATAATAAAATAGGGAATGAGCGATACCCAGTGCCATTGCTCACCACCCGCCCACCAAGCCCGGCCCATTCCCAGATAACGATCCCAGAGGAGTGACAATCCCGAACTGAAACCGCAATCCCGGGAGAGCGAGAGCCCGAGCGAAAGCCAGAGAGAGCAAGAGAGGAAGAGCCCCTCATGAATGTCCTGCCCATGGGGGACAGGAGATGGAACAGCCCATTGGCAGAGCCCAGTGCCAACTGAGCTGATTCATTTCAATATTCCTCACCCCCTCAGATCTTGCACTTGCAGACTGACAAAACACAAAGTCCTTCACCCCCAGTGACACAAATGCCAACATGGGGATGTTCTCAGCGTTTCTCTCCTAACAAATCCCAGCTGAACCCAAACCCCAGCGCTGTTCGAGCTGCTGAACAGAAACTAGCTCTGGCTTAGCTCAAACCAGGACACCTGTGAAGGTATGTGCTGATGCCTGTGGCTTTAGTCAGGGTCAGCATGAAAACAGAAATTGGATTTGTCTTTCATCTTTAGCCTGGAAACATTATTTCTAGAACTGAAGCATGCTGGCTGCGAGGCTTGGGTATGCTGCAGGCTCTTGTCTGTGTGGCGCTGACTGTTCAGCACTGACACTGCTTCAAGTAACGAGTCCATACAGCTTGTAATGTGCAGGGGATGTTTGTTCATTTTCCTCAGATGTATCTGTTCAGGGCCTGGAAGTCACTGTATGAGTGAGTCTGATGTGTTATATGTCTGTAGGTATGTGTTACATATCTTGTACCCCAAGCATCTGTCAGTAGTGAAATGTTCAGCAGTTAATGCTGTTTCATACATTTGTTAAATTCAGTCAGTAATACTGTTCAGCTTCAAGTTCATAAGAAGTGCCTTTTGCAACAGCAGTGCAGAAACATCCATCTTTATCCCTTCTGGGTCAGTCTTTTCTATCAGCAAGGGGCTCTTAGTTGGGCATTCGAGGAATCATAGAATAGTTTGGTTGGAAAAGACCAATACGATCATCTAGTCCAACCGTAAACCCAGCATTGCCAAGTTCACCACTAAAGCATGTCCCCAAATACTACATCTACATGTCCTTTAAATACCTCTGGGGACAGAGTCCACCACCTCCCTGGGCAGCCTGTTCCAATACTTGACAACCCTTTCAGTGAAGAAGTTTTTCCTGATATCCAACCTAAACCTTCCCTGGCACAACTTAAGGCCGTTCCCTCTTGTCCTGTCACTTGTTATTTGGGAGAAGAGACCAACACCCACCTCACTACACCTTCCTTTCAGGTAGTTGTAGAGAGCATCCTGTGCTCTCTACAGGTGCTGAGAAACCAAGAAAGCAAAGCCAGTACCTGACAGCAGCAGCTGCAGCAGGAGAGATGTTGTGTCAAATATGTTGGAATGTGTTGATAGCAAATGGTCTGGATCCAGCTGGGAAGCTTTAGTGCTGTGGCACCATAGCGCTGCAAAGCCTGCCAAGGAAGCAAGTCTGTGCTGAGCTCCCTTCTGCTTAAACCTGGGTTAAATATGTTGATACAGCATCACAGACTGGTTTGGGTTGGAAGGGTCCTTAAAGCTCATCCAGTTCCAACCCCCCTGCCATCAGCAGGGACACCTTCCACTAGACCAGGTTGCTCAAAGCCTCATCCAACCTGGCCTTGCCATCACAGCGCAGGTTTGCCAGTTGCTTTCCCTGATAAGGAAACCTGCAGTGACACCCAGTTGGCAACAGCCCTGGTTTGGCAGCTGATTCCAGATCATCAGAACGGGCAGGCTACTGCAACAAAAAACCCCAGGATTTTTACTGTTTTTACAGGATAAATCACAATGAATAATGACTTTCCATTTTCTCAGGACCTCCAGTAACTATAATATGTGCATGAGATGCACACATACACCTTCTCCCTCCTTTTGAGGGACAGTATAGGTAACAACTGCAAACTCTTCAGTGCAGGTTGTCTCTCATACTGAGGATTTCCATCAAAGCCCTAGTTCTTCTAACCTTGGGTGTAACATTTTCCTTGTTCAGCTGGGTTCAAAGCTCTTAGGAGTGAGGAAACACCCTGCTGAAATGGCTGGTGATGAAGGTGTTTGTTTACATTGTGTCCTACCTGCTAGAGCGTCCTGGGCCAGAAATAAATTAAATGAGCCTCTGGCATTTTGTTTAATTGCCTTGCCTTCGTGATTAAAGTGCTGTGGGTTTCTTTGGGGTTTCATTTTTTTCTTCGTACACCCAGAAAGTAATGAGACAGTGAGACAGGTAGGTTTGGAGATGTTTCTGTGCCAGAATTTACATAATCTGGTTGTGTTACAACCTGGCTGCGTGTTTGTCAAGCCTGTAGAGTGAGGATGCACAGCACTTACGTCATGCGTATGCCCCGAGGGGTTTTACTGTCCTGTATCTTCCAGGCAAAGCTCATGCTGAAATTGCAGAGTTTAATGATCATCCTGCTTTAGGTCTCTAAAGTAGCTTCTGAATGATCCCTGATGATAAAATTTGTGAAGGCTGTAGTGAACTTCAAGAAAGTTCCAACTACTCTAGCCAGACACGGTATTTGTAGCTTGTTACAGCGCTGATTACAGGTGAATATTTCCTCTTAGGCTGTAATGCTTTCCTCATTCAGTTCAGCTGTCTTCATATCCTCCATAAACTCCTCTGGCATTGAACACTCCAGATTTTTCTCTTTCTGCCTATGCACTCTCTGTATTCAGGACTCTGCCTCACCTCCTAATCAAGTCGTTCAACCTTGTTGGCACAGGTTGTTGCTTAGCTGCTGACCTGCTGGAAAAATTTGCATTTTAACAGCTCATCAGATGGTGGCTGTGAGTAGAGCATGCTTCAGCATAACCTTGATGTAAACTTAGATTAAATGCTGAGCCCTACCAGAAGCCCTGCAGGGAATACATATATCACACAATTCCAGCACCAGACTTCTTTAAGCTTTTTTTTCATTATTATTAAGTGCTGTAGGCTTTTAGTAAATTGTTGGTCAGAACTCAAATAGAATTACTCAAAGTCTAGAAACGGAGGTTATTTCTGATGCTTTCTGCTCATCTTCCCTTTCTGTAGGGTGGTTGTGCCAGTCCAACTTCCCATGCGCTGGAGCTGCAGCATGTCCTGCTGTGGAGTCAGACGTGCGCTATAATGGGTACCCAGAGGACGTGGGGGTTAGAGATAGGCTCTCACTGTGGAAACCATTGGTGCTGCTGATACCTCTCCGCCTTGGGCTCACAGAGATCAATGAAGCCTATATTGAAACACTAAAGGTAGGGGACCTGGAGCTGAATCCTTGGTGTTCTCATGCTTAAGGACCCTGTTGTGAATTAAGTCGTTTCTGGAATTTGGTTTTGGGGCAAAGATACTCAGAAATAATTGTCCTGTTTTCAAAAGAAAAATGTGTTCAGAGGCAATTCTTGTTGGAGGTCAGGATATGGGTTCTTGCAGGCTTTAGTCAGGAACATGTCAGGCTTTTGGGGGGTTATTTGCCCTTAACTCAGTAGATGTTGCCTGGGTACTGCAGCTGGATAAGGAACTTAAACCGTTTCCTGAATGACCGTTTCTTCCTGAGAGCATTGCTTCAATCTGGTGATAACTGGGGTATCTTGCCACTAACTGCAGCAGAGCCAGGACTTGCCTGGACTGTGTCCTGGAGTATTGCTGCTGCTTCCATTTGGTTCACCTGTGTATTCCTGTCAGGAGTTAAAGCTGGTTTTGAGCTGCTTCTGTGTTCCTTGAAGGCCCTGTGTTGCAGCCTTCAGCCTTCCTG